TACCACTACCACTACCACTACCACTACCACTACCACTACCACTACCACTACCACTACTATTGGTAATTCGGGGTGCAACAATCAGCACAATCATGTATATGTTGAATCGATGAAAAGTTTAAGAATAAAACTCACAAGTTGCAGTGCTTTCTGGAGAGCCTGAAACGGAAAGTTCACATTTATTACTACGGGACATTTAAAATTTAATATGCGTTTTTCTTAACGCATTTGATATGCGTTTTTTTCTTAACAAACAATTCAAACAGTTACTAACTTACTCTTTGTATAAATTCCTGTTTTAATAATTAGGAATTAAATAAATGAGAAGGAGGAAAATCAAGATTAGAGAGGGATGGAAAGAGAGAGAGAGAGAGAGAGAGAGGGTCAAGCACATAAACTTATTCCTTACCACTTGGATGACTGGGTGTTGGTGAGTGTGTTAAAGGTTTTAATGGAGGGTGTGTTGAGGAATGTGTTGAAGGGAGGTCTGTAATCGATGTTGGACTGACAAAGTCTGTTTTCACTCTGTACCCTGCAAAGTTGCCATCATTTATTGCTTGCAGAAGAGGCTGCTTGGGATCCAAGGTATTTTCTGGATATCCTAACTCTACCACAGCTACGACACTCCCTCTTCTATGAAGTAGAGAAAAGTATTGTTTAACGAATAAAACGTTTTTTGTTTTCTTTCGTGCTGTGTTCAGTAATAAAACACGCAGAAAGCACGAGCCGTAGTCGAGCGCTTCTCACACTTCTTGGGTGCTTACGGCGCTTCGTAATTGCCTCATTACTAACGGAGTAAGGTAAAAGCTGTTTTATTCGTTAGTTTTATTGATATAGTTACTAATTTATTTAGGTATGCTATTTTTCTTCTTCTTTTTTTTTTTTTTACGAAAACAGAATAATGGTCACAGGATCTAGCAGCACTTTACGCGCGCGGTTGGCCTCAGCACTGTGCTTTGTTCACTAATAAACCTCAGTTTTCGACCAATCAGCGCGCACACATACTATTCTAACTATATAATAAATAGCAAATATAATATTTAATCACAGCCTTAAAAGCAACAGTATTATTGTAATAATAACTAGATTTTGTTGTCGACCTCACGCATTATTGAGGTATACTGGCTTACCTGTATCGTATTACTTCACACTTGTGAATGGTTTTGCCTTTCAAGGCATATGCAGTAAGGCATTATTACATGTATACTGGGTTACCTTAATCTTACTACTTCACAC